AACCACATGTACCAAACTGAATGAATATACAGGATCAGTCAGCTTTGTCTCAAAGTTCTAAAACCTGATGAAATATTATGGCTCACTGATTGTTAAATAATACATAATGTTATTCTGCAGAAAGAAAATAAACGCTTTGATCTGACACATGATTGTAATGCCACACTGCCAATATTATGGAAATTTTAAGTGTGTCCACAAGGATTGATTTCACTTTGAAATGGGCAAGACATCAGTACAAGCTATCACTCTGTCAAACTTATGATAACTGTAATTTTAGGGTGACATTTCAACAACTGTTCATCCCACTTGAGAGTTCATTTTCTTGTGCATCATGTTTTACCCTTAATCGTATCTGACTAAATTATTTATCTTGATTGGTTCTCTGCGCCTATTAGTCATGTAATCAGCATACGATCACGTGGTTGTCCAATAACAGGTATCCAATTATGTAAAATTTGGATACATAATTGGATACCTATGTGATTCACACGTCAATTACGCACACTTTAATACCTTCCTTCTTTAAGTTTTCAACAGTTTTTAAAAATTATGGAAAACACTCTGACTTTTTCACTCAAAAGAGGTTCAAAAAAGACTTTTTTAATTTCCATATTTGTTTTAAATACGATTAATTGAAGGGGTGCATGGAAAAAGACGTTAAGTGACATCTGATAGACTGCAAGACTCTCCTAGCAAATTTCTTTTCACTTCCTTGTACAGAAAAGGAGACTTTGACATGAGATCAATAGTCACTTAGGGCGTTTTGCCACGCAACCCTTCAATTAGTAATTTGACCTTGTGTCATGCAATTCAGGGAGTAATTCCACTCGTAGTTTCAAATCGGCCTTAGGCTTTGCTCTCATCCGATTTTGAAATTACTCACGAAATTATTCCCTGAATTGTACTCCCCTCATTCCAATTACTATAAGATTACATGTATTTCTGATTTCAACTTTTTATGGTTGAAAAATAAACAAACCACAGCTATTGTATTCTTACACGCCACCTTTCCCAGATGTGTATGTTAGAATTAACTAAGCAGAACTTATCAACAAAACTTTTTTTTTTGATAGTTAAAACTTAGGCAAAACAAAGTCTTGCAGGTTCCAAGCAAGTGTGGCCTATGAGATAATAAATTAGATACCAAATTTGGCAGTTTTGGTATATCACTAACATGCACAATCAACCTTGACAAAATGATTCCAGGATCAAGATTGATAAGTTCATTTTCAGCAAAAAAGAAGAATAAAAATGACCACATTGGAATCTCCACCATCAGGGAATAACTGTGCATATTGATTCAACAAGCACAACCTCCAGCCTGTGGTTGGGGTTCCTGTGGTGTGTCCTTTAGTTTAACTTCTATAAGGTCGTCTTTGTTTGCTTTATCTGTTGTACTTTCCATGCCTGGTAATGCTGCAGCGACTCTCCTGAAGAGCTGTGAAAATATAATGAGTACAAATAACATTAAAAATATCCTAATCTTGGCTGCAAAATTAGCTACTACTCTTACAATAGACCGTGACACCCACAAATTTTTTTGCCACCTTCAGAGTAATGTTTTTGATTCTGCGAATTTGTTTCAAACCAATCACATGGTACATTGAAATGCACCACGTGAGGACATTTTTTCGGTGTGGCGTCATGACTTTTTCGCATTACGTGATGTTCATTCACAATGTGTTTATCTTCAAGAAGAAAGGTTGTTGTGATGAATGTGTCTAAAAAAACCGCTTTGAATTTGTCCTGATCATTATTTTATCTTCAGCTGATAAACAGCGGCCATGCTGACAGTTCTATGGAAGACAAAAAGCACAGTGAGCTTTCCTCTTGATTATAAATGCGTTATGAATGAACATCACGTAATCAAAAAGTCATGAAGCCACACAGAAAAAAAATGTTCTCATGTGTTGTATTTCAGTGTACCACGTGATTGGTTTGAAACAAACTTGCGGCATCAAAACATTACTCTGAAGGCGGCAAAAAAGTTTGTGGGTGTCACGGTCTCCTGGGAAGAGTAGTAAGTTACATTTCCCTACGTGTAATTAGAGGGTAGGTTGAAGTTTGGCACTAATGTTTTAGAGTTGTTTTAATGCAGGGGACCATCAAAAAGCCACAAATTGCATTTCATAATAAAGATATTTATATAGGGAGCCCACATCAAAGGTAGTGGGTTTCAGCCCAGAGGGGACCCTGTAAAACAAAAGTACAAATCAAATTGTTTTCACAATTCTTGGAATTGTATACTCCCTGGAGATATTTCAATCCCCTCCTTCTTTACTGCATCACAGTGTACAGATGTCATCTAGCAATCCTACCTGTTTAACATTATATCCTGCCTTTGCACTTGTTTCTATAAACATCACATTTAATTCCTTCGCTTTTCTCTCTCCGTCTTCTGTTGTCACTTGTCTTGTTAAAAAAAAAAAAGCATTACAGAGCAAAATTTATAATAGAAACTATTTGTACTTAAGAAATGAAAAAAACAAAAACAAAACATTTTCCATGTGTCTGTCAAGTAACAAAAAACATGAGTGGAAGCTTGGGAGAATTAAAAAATGCATTATTTTACTCTTGAAAATTATCTCTCTTTCTCTTGCCTTCATAGAATGATGTACAATTTCTTTTGCTTTTAATAAAAATTTACTAATCTTATGGCATGGGCATCCATGGCAAGCCTTTACAAAAAGTAATTCTTACAACCAGTAACCTGCACTGCTTTATAAGTAAGCCCAGGAAGTAACATGACTGCAAGAGCTGAATAGGAAATGACTCTGGTGGCAGTTATGAATAACAAAAATTAATGAAAACAAGGGCAAGAAGTACCTAATTAAATGATTCTCACCTTTTGTCTGAGAGATCTGTCTTGTTTCCAACTAACATAATAATCACATCACTTCCTCTCTCTGTTCTTACATCATCAATCCATTTTGCTGTTTGTTGGAAAGAATTATAATCTATACAAAAGGAATAAATATGTGTTACTATGGGGTTACCTTGAACTTTGAAAATACTGTTAAAGCAACAAAGTATCTCTCTTACAAGTTGATATAACAACCTTTATTACAAAAAACATTGGGAAACAGTAATGGGACAAAATCATAAATCAGATATTGATACAAATAGAAATTCTGACTAGGGTATGTTGAGGTATGTGAAGCAAGAACCAACAGACAGTATAGAATTGTGCTCCTAAAAATATTTTACATCTTCACTTTACGATGTTACAAGTGTCTGGCTGAAATGCATCTTAAGATGATACCAAAGACAGTGGTAATCATTGTGATGGTAACCATGACAACCATGAACTTTAATGACAAGTCTAAGAGATAGCCAAGAGTAAAAACTTCTAAATAAATGCTATAACATCGAGCAAAATCAAATTACTTGTTATGTCATAAACTACAACTGCGACACTTGAATCTCTTATGTAGCTAGGTATTAAACTTCTAAATCTCTCTTGGCCTGCTGTGTCCCACAATTGCAGTCTAACCTGAGGACAAAAAAAAAAGAACCAAGATTGCTTCATGATGGAACGATTGTATTATAAGTAATCATATAGAAGGATTACGAATTACAGTTGTCCTAGAGTGACATAAACCAAAAAATAGGAAGGGCCACAATACTCCAAAATTTGTAGTAATTCCAAGATTGATACTGTCAACTGAGAGTAAATTAACTATGTACCAGTATTTAATTAACTTAGCGATAACCTGTCTCATAACTTACATTGTATTATTGCTATACATGTAACATTTGATCATAGATCTATTATTATTTATAGAAAGATACCAGAAATATAAATACCAGTAAATATAATAAAATTAAAAAGCAAAACAAAAAAAGAAGAAATAAATGAAGCCATATTAAGCAGCATTCTTACCAAATTAACTTGCATTATAAAAACTCAGCATAATCCACACTAAAGCAGTGTCTAAGTACATTAATTTAAAATAAAAACACACAGATAATACAATTACATGTAACTACATGTATGACAATTAGGGTTATAGTTCTGTGCTTGGCCACTAGGCTTACCGTTCTGTCTTCAAGATACATTGTTTTTGACAAGAAGTCTATTCCAATAGTTGCCTGAAAAAAAAACAAAACAAAACAAACAACAACAAAAGAAACACTTAACTATGTAGATATGAACAGTGCACAAATGTATATCAATTGAATCAATACTTAACTTACATGTAGTTTACCATTCATTTCAAATACAAGAATCTTTTCTGCATAATTTAAACTACGTGACTGTACGTTGACTTACTAATCCATAGCTGTCAGATTCAGCAACTTTGTGAGGATCAAAATATAATCTTAACTTGTAAGCTAGAAAATAAATTATGGAAAACTACATTTACAGTGTAAGCCGTTAACAATTAAACAGCTGTCAGATTTAGTAAGTTTCTAAGGATCTAAAAATAATTTTGTAATCGGGAAGACAATGTATAAATTATGGAATAGTATCTTTATCATATTCAGCAAGTTTGAAGGATCTAAAATTAATCTTGAATACAAAGTACAAATTGTGGAAATCTACTTTAAGCTGTCAGGTTCAGCAAGTTTGTGAGGGTTTTAATTTTTAAGTGCCCGTCTATAACTGAAATGTTATGGTGTCTCTCAAATTATTGTTATGTCTGATACTTCACGTTGGCCCAGGATAATTAGCTTACATGTACGTATTAGTTAATGTACAAATATATAGGGCATCGAGTTAAATTAAATTAAATAGAGACAAGCTAAGCTAAATGGAATATTGTATTGGTAGGTAAAAAAGAACGTCGACTCTTAGGCATGGATTGCAAAATATTTAAACTGTGATACATATTACTAGCTTGTATGAACATACATGCTACAGTTTTGAACTACAGCAAAAGAACTAACAGAGGAAGTACAGCATACTACCCACACAGATGAAAAATATTTCTCAGCTTACTTGGTATGTGTTGTCAAAGCTGTCGTACATAAACCTTGTTATTAAAGAAGTCTTCCCCACTGAAAGAGAACAATATAGCAATTAAGCCGCCAAGACTGATACAGCGCGGTCAAGCCCATAATTATCGAGATCATAAACTGACTTTTCGAACACGACAATTATTTCTGCATGTGGCGACTAGTTGTCATTGTAAACTCACCGCTCTGTTCACCTAAGAAGACCAATTTGAATTTTCTCAGAGGATTTCCGAAGTCGGACGACATGGCTGCTCGAGGGAGAGTTACAACAGTTCAATACAAACCCGTCAAATGATATTTTTGTACCGAAGATCGCAGTATTTATATCACGAACTTTCGATCGAAGCCACGTCGAAAGTTGTAACGACATCTGCGCTTGCGTAACCGGTACTTACCCAAATGACGTCACCGAAATGAGGAACCAAGCTTTGACTAAGAGGACGAAAATGGCGGAAGATTTGAAAAGATCTGCAGAAGTATGCACTCTTGATTTGCTCGTGCTGCACGAACATGATGGTTTGTTTATCAAGTACAGCGATGGCACATCACTTGAGCTTTCTCCTTGTGGATCAGTGTTTCTCCATCGTGAGGCGGCTCCAAGTAATTCTACCATGCGTCAGTTCACAAGATTCGCCCTGAGCTCATTTAGAACGAAGATTACCGAGGCTGTTAGATTTCGTAACCTATTTGCGGCCCAACCATACCTCTGCAAGGAACTTACGGATCTACAGGAACTCAGAGTAGGGTGCTTCGGTCATTACGAAACTGACATGCGGTCTCATTTAGGGCTGAGTGTTTATCGACAGATGAGAAACTTCGATCTCCCAAAAATATCGATCTCCACAACACATAAGCTTACCCTATATTTAATATTACGTGCATGAAAAAATGCTCATTACAGACTTTCCCACCTATGACTGCAGGTCTAATGAGATCCAGTATGTTTTCAGGTTATTATTATTATTATTATTATTATTATTATTATTATTATTATTATTATTATTATTTCTATTTTTTTATTTTATTTTTTTTACCTTTCATTTTACTTTCTCTTGCTAGAATTTGAACAAAATAATACAAAATTAAATATGGCTTATGAAACTTCAAGCTAAAAACATTTGAAATCCTGTTCAAGTTTATCAAGTTCAAAGAAAAGTCTGGCAATTTGTATACTTACGATATCACAAGTCTTGTGGATCCAGAGGTGCTCAAAAGGTTAAGGGTGCAGATTCAACATGAGCCCTTTGCCCTTAGAAAAATGGGGGAAGGTACAAAGCAGCATGGTAATATAAGTTATAGAAAGAAAATAACCATTTCTTCCAGTGTTAATAAATGTCATTAACCAACCCCAGGTTGGCTACCAGGAAGTTACACAGTGTTGTTGGCCTGATCACATCACCACAGGCTTTATTTCAAAACTGCCAGATGGGTCAACTTGTGTCACATCTGTAGATGGTCTGGCAAGTGTAACTCTTTTGCCGCACAGACAAGCTTTTGTTGCACGGTTTCTTGCAGAGGTTAAATATTCCTTGCCTCAGGTAAAGTCTTTCTATTTCACGTTATTACACACCAAAGTATTTTGATACTATATCCTGTTAATTGTGTACAAAGTTGAAACCTCTCTTTACTCTGAATAGAAACTAGAAAATACTTTCCATGAGCATCCAGCATCTTTCAGGGTTTCTTAGTCAATAGGAAAACCAAAAGTCAACAGGCCAAACCACTTTTCCTTTGCATTTTATATGACCATGGCTTATTCTGTTGAGGGAGTTGTAGCAGTTTGGGTTTAGTCAACATTTTCTTGAGCCATTGGGCTCTTCCCAGAGGCTGTTTCTCCTTCCCTTCCCCTCTTTTCACTGTTTAATCAGTGTTTGGTCAATTTATAGAAAGCAAGAAACAATGAGCCAGATGCTCAAAAGCAGAAGCACTACTTCACTTGGCAAGAACAAATTCACTCTTTGTTTTCATATCCTGAAGCTTGGAAGTATCCCCTTCAACTTGCACTTGATGCAGCAAATGACAAAAAGACACTGATCACTTCCTGCCATAATATGACAACTTTGCCAGCCTCTCTTCCAGTGACATGCAGTGCAGTTCATCTTCACAAGTGGAAATCTCAGGTCAGATTGAAAACTGCAGTACAGTACCATCTTAATCTTAAGCTGGTAATCAATAAATTGACACTTTTCAGACCCTGGCCTTAGTCAAATAACATTTTGCTTATTTTTATAAATAAGTTACTCTTAACTAGTCTTTCTGTACTTCTCAACAAACTAAAGGGAAGCAGAGACTGGTCAAAGGGGAATAGTGAGGAAGACCAAACTTGCTTAATATCCTTCTTAAACGATATTTATTTGTCTTGAGTTGCAACACCTTTTAGTAAGTGTTTTAAAATGAAGACATCATTCTTTTAGTTATATTGAAGTCACTAAATTCTGTCCAAGGTACCTAATGACTGTGACCATGTGGAATGGGAGTTCTTTGGAAAACCCAACATGAAAGTCATTTGGAAAGATGGTGCCACATACAAGTATGTAGCAATTTAATTATTCAAAATAATCAGTAACATATTCATGTATAATTATTTAGAAAACAGCCCTAAGAAAATATGTGTGCTGATTGGTTAAAAATTGCGTTTCTATAACTTGATAGAAACACAGAACTAGCACAAGCTGTTGATGTAGTGATGGTGCGAGCAAAGAGAATTTACATTTTGATGATCAAAGTAAACAAGTTGTTTCCCTTTTTTTGTGGCGGTGTTTTCCAAAAGAAATATAGAAAACATGTTCTCCATGTTTCTATCAAGTTATAGAAACACTCGTAAAAGTTTGGGAGAACTCGAAATTTAAGCTATGGAAACACTCGCCTACGGCTCATGTTCCTAAACCATTTCTCGTTCTCCCAAACTTCCACTCATGTTTCTATAACTCGAGAGAAGCACAATGCATGTTTTCTACATGTATTTCTTAAGTAACAATAAACTATTGCCTGATAGCTAGCTGGCAAGGTTATTGGCAAAATTGGGTTAAATGAGATGACTTGTCAATGACACTTTCTTCATGGTTAATTTCAAGAGAACTGAAGTATTTTGAGTCACTTTATTGTGAGCACAATTGCAGGACACAAATTTAATGTAGTAAGCTTTTTAATTGATAAAATGAGCTGGATGTGGAATTGACTCTCCGCTGGCAAATGCAGTAATTGTTTCCATTTGTTATGGAGTGTTATATATTTAAGCACAGAAGTTCACCTCTGAGGACTTTTATTGAATGATATTACTGGATGGTTTTGTTACTTTCAGGATTTTTCGTCAGCCAACTGGCTTCTTTACTGTTGAGATTGATCCTAGAGATGGCTCTGTAATGAGGTCACGAACACCAAGAGGACGATATTTTGATCACTGGTTTGTTCGGCAAAATGGCCTGAAGGTATAACATATAATCCCAATCAGACATACTGCACTACTTACAACTTACAAATCCAGTAAAAGAAATTTAACTGTAACCATTAATCACTTGCATTTTTTAATCCTTCCTCGACAATTCCAAGATGAGAATACAGACCTACTGTATCTGGTCCAGGGGTTTCATTAAAATTTCCAGCAGGAGGACAACTGGTTTTCACAGGCAGGCAAAAGTTTTTGAACTGAACTTCTTTTCACTGAGAATAAAAACTTTCCTCTAGATGGTCAAGCCAGGTGGGCAAAATCAATCGTCCCAGTCGGTCAACCCCTGCTGTTCATGTAGCTGTTGCCTAGATCTAGAATATAAAGCAGGTTAGCCCTGTGCACTTTTTGATACACAAAGTCAAACTGAAAATTCCCAGTCACAATATGTATTGATGATCAAATATAGCAAAGAACCTAACTAACAATGTTCAGACTCAGTCCAAAAATAAAACACTTTTTACATGTTATGTTATGGGGTGAATGTTTGAAAATTTTCCAGATGTTTTATATTCAATTTGGCTTGCAGGATCTGGAGATTCAAGAGAGAGTTTACTCAGCTGACAAGCCACTTCCAGACAGACTGCAGCACAAGTCTGAATATTCAATTGGTCGACTAGTAAAGCAGGCAGCAAGGTGGGATCTAAACAAAATGAATTCAGTCAAACCTTTATTATAAAAGTAAGCGGTCACCCTCTGGAAATAGCTAGGTGACCACTTAATGAGGTTGACTGTTTAAAAGAGGTGATCAAAATTAAGCACATTATGGGGCAAAACATTGAACAACAAAACAAAAGTACAGTAAGCGTGCAATCTACATTTACTGTTCATCACAACTGTAACGCGAAATATATCTAAGAAGTAGCTAGAAGTCCACACACTAGCCAACAGATTTATGTTTATGTTGTTTGTAAGGAGAGCATTAACTAAAGTGTCTTCGCCTTAAAGCCGACTATTGACAGTTCTGGCATTTCATTTTACAATTGAAGTGAAAAAAATCAGTTATGGTGGTTTGTGATTTGGGGTTGCATGACTTTATCTGGTAAAGCAAGTCACTGACTTTGTACATTGCCAACTAGAGTTCTTCATGACCACAAAACTGTGCTCCGGTTGACCACCCAATGTAACAAAGTGACCATTTAACTGAGGTGAATTACATTATACAGTTAGCCATTTGGGAAGTCCAAACAGTGACCATGTCTGCTTAATAGAGGTGACCACTTAATGGAGGTCAAATAGACACTCGGTAAATATGTGAAGCAAATTTTGGGAATCTGAATGCTGACCTCTTAATAGAGGGTGACTGGTTAACAGAGGGCAGCTTACAGTGTAATAGAGGTTTGACTGTAGTTGCAGCCTGCAAAACAGGCGGATTAGCAGGGCAGAGAGCGAAACGCTGAAGCAAAACGCGACACACGAGCACGGAATGTGACCACGAGTGCGAAGCGCGAGACAAAAACTCGGATTTTTTTCGCCTTGCACTTCGCGCTTGTGGTCACACTCCGCGCTCATGTATCGCGTCTCGCTCACTGCCCCACTAGTCCACCTGTTCTGCAGGCTACTGTAGTTGTTACTAACCATACTAAGCTTGGAGTCACACTCATGGGACTGGACAACCTTGTTTCCACGGTTTCTCTTCCTCCCCACCACCTGGAGTGATTTGGACAAAAGCAACACGACAAAAGTTTTCAAATTAGATGTCCCCTCCCTGACATTCTCAATTGTCTAAGAGACACATGACCAGACCAAACCAGGGTCTCTCACTCCAGGGGTGGGGAAGAAGAGAGACCCTAAGAAAGAGGTTGGGGACTGGACAGTCATACAGGAGTACAAAGCCTGCATTGGAATCTCAGTACCAATTTAGAAGACAAACAAACAGCACCTAACACACACTGTCTTTGGGCAGACTTGAGAAAGACAGGCATTGACAAATATCTTGTTAGAAGAAGTTAAGAGGTCGTCAAAATCATGTGAGTGGGGGAGGGGGTGGAGTGCCGTCTACCCTCCATGGGATAGCCTCTTATGAACCTGTTGTTTGGACTCGTCGGCTGACACAATGCTTCCTACATGTATGCCAAACAAAGAGAAAGTTGAATGGAAAAGTCAAGTCTTGCCCAGTGTTTTGGGGACTGCAGTTTTGTTGAAGCAGCGAACATGAAGACCATTTATCATTTTCAGATACATAGAATTCCTGAGCAATGCTGGACTGCGATTGGAGGAACGCTGTTGCTGGAAAGAGGTGCAGGTAACTCAAAACATGTGACCAGAGATTACAGTGAGTAAAAACTATACATCGTAGCAAATCTGAAAGTCAGATCAAACACTTGCTATTCAGATTCATTCTCTTTTAAAAATTAATATCCTGTTTGTTAGCAAATTGAATCAAAAACATGTTTTTAATAAATGTGATAATGATTGTATTGCCTTTTATAATTTTTAATCACTGATCCTCTAATAAGAGCAGTCTTCAATATTATTGAGTGTTGCAAAACCAAAACTAAACCAATTACTTACCAATTAGCCTTAATAACCCAGCCAATCTCAAACCATAGTAAAACCAAAACCAAAACAAAAACCAAAGTAATTGCGACACTCAATTGAAAACCACTCTAATACTGCAATTGGCATACAACTAATTAACAGGCAATGAAAACTACAACTCCACTGGATGCATGGTTTCATGAAGCACATATTATAGACACTGCTGACGTACCAGGCATGGGAAGGTTCAAGGCTTACTCAAATGGACACATCAATGCGGTGTTTAGTGACAGAACAATCCTTGACATAAGAAATTCAACTGACCATGATAAAGAAATATCACTTGAGAACTGCTGGTGCCAGCTCATTCTTCCTAATGGTAGAGTTGTGCAGTTTAGACTGACAGATGCAGAGTTGTGTGGTACATATGAACAGTAAGGAATATTTATGATAGAGTTAAGTGTCTTACCCTGTAGGAACTATAGGGGTCATGTATGCTAAAGGCATCCATGGTCAGGTGTCGATCAATACCCTCGATCAATACCCTTGATTGACCCTTGATCCACACTTGATCAATACTTGATCAACACGTCGATTGATACTCAACTGAGACTTGACATCAGTTGAGAGTCGACTAATTTTCGCACACACACTTTCGAGTGTCAATCGATACATATGAATCAGTTGATACTCAGCTGTATATCGACTGACACTCGATCAAGTGTCGACAGACTTGCTGATGGAGTGCCGATGTAGTGTTGACCCAGTATCGCTGATGTTGATCAAGTGTTGATCAAGATATTGATCAAAGGTTGATCAAGGGTAATGATCGAAACTCAACCGTGGATACCTTTGGTACATATGAACCAACTATTGTAATCACTAACAGTGGTGCATCTCTAGAATATGCCCTATAATTTACGATTTTCTTTACTCTGACTCATAATGTCTGCTTTATCATGTATGAAAATTATGAGAAATCTCACTTTCACAATAATGACACCTTCATCCAGGTACCTACAGATAGCACTTCACTGGGCTGCTTGGGTAAAGGCCACGCCCTCACAGAGACAAACATTTTATAAAGACTCAATATGGGACCCTGAAAAAAGAGGGTGAGCTGTTTTAGTATGTTGTTGTTGTTCTTGCTGTTAGCTTTCTCCCCACTGTTTCATTTCTTGAGCTGTAAACCACATTGATCAATATTCACTTAATCACTCTTAAACTTGAATATCAGAGAAAACATTTCCCTGCTTGTAAGGAAAGGTCCTGTCAGTATTAGATTTATAAATTTATAATCTTTGTATTCCTGCTTATAACGTTTTTCCTGTATATTTTTAATATGGACTTCTCTAATTCCATTGAGTTGTGCACATTGCCTATGCTATTTTTTGAGGCCACTGATGTGTAACTATTAATAGTTTTGTCTTTTTTTATAATCAGGGCTGTTACTGCTGAAGTAGAGAAAATAAAAAGATTTAACTGTATCCTTTATTTTTAATTAACTGTTTCTATCAAAATCTCTGATCATGATGATGCTGCAGTTAGTCTTTACGGCAAAAACTGAGAGATCAGCAGAGATTTGTGTACTGTTCTTACACATTTTAAGTGCGTGTGACAAGTTACTAATAAACATACGGCAACCAGCAGTTACCTAGCAGGTACCTGATGGCCTTATCTTGTATTCTGCCTACAGGCTTCACTTCTAACTACGTACTGTTAAGGGCCCATTAACCGATTTATGCGCACGCTCGTGCACGTTGCTAAGGAGGTGAAATTTCACTTCCAGTTACTTATGTCAGCCTGAGTGCAGAAAATAAAAATAACTCAGTAACTTCCAAATTCGCTCACATTTTAGATGTTTTTCTTTGTGTTTCACAAAATGCAAAGTAAAAAAAGTACAAGCAAAGACAAAAAAANTTTTCATTAAATCCAGCCTTTGCATTTTTTCTGTATTAGTCACAGGACCATGGGCGTGGCCTGATGACGTCATCACTAGTGTTGCTGATCATGAAAAAGTTAAAACACATGAAATAACTCTGAAGTGACTAAAAATGAGGAGGTTATATGAGAATAAATTTTCCCTTGCAACTGCTTGAAAAGATCAGTTAATGGGCCCTTAAGTACATTTAATAAAAGTACAGGACGATAAGGAATAAAATGCTGTGTAGTAAGGCCTAGTTCAGACTAGTGACATAATCGCTTATGACTGTAATGCAGAGCTGTGTTCTGGAAACACCCGGATGCCACAAGTGACTATCTTTTACCATTGGGCTTAAATGCTGGGCACCCAGAATTTCATGGTTAGGAAACTTGGGGCTCATAATTTTTTGCAGACCACAGCCTTGGTAATGCAAACATCGACACTTAGACATAATGAAAATATCAGTTTTTCTCCCCTTATGTCATTATTTCCATGCTGTTATGTTACTATTATGTTGGAGGGTTCCGGATAATTTTTCAATGCAGGGTGTCCATAAAGAATTCCAACAAGTCAATTCTCAGTGCTCCCTCCAAATCACATAATAAATTTCCTAGTAATTTGTCGCGTCATGTAACTGACCTTGTTTGGCCTTTTACCTGAGACCCCTCACTTATCTGGAACACTGATCTTGTTATGTCAGGATGTTCACACTGAAAACATAACATTTAACGTCCTTCTTTAATGATAATCTTATGTGATTATGTTGCTGATGTGTAACCATTGATAGTAACTCATTCATTCAAGTCAACATGTCATTTGTGATCCTTAAATTTGCAAACAAGTATTACCTCAGGATATTCATAATCAACATGCTACAAATTTAGTACAGAGTTCACTCATTAAGGACACTGAAAAATCTGCAAACAAGGTGTTTATTGAATACTTGTATGTTAATCGGAAACTTATTTTCAGCCTGAATTCTATCTGCCTCTTCAGGTGGCTTAATCCACAAACACAGATCAAAATACTTGCCAATTCCATCCAATAGTAGGGCTGTCATGCATCAAGGGCCGTAACCTGTAACACATGCATGATTTTCCCTTGATGCTATGGGTGAAATTGCCTGTTGTTGATAGAATCCACAAGTTTGCTGTTGGTGTGAAGAACAAGGTAACATAATGACAGTCAAGGTAACATAATGACAGTCCCAGGGTTCTTCCAAAAATTTGAAGTAGTCAGAGAAAAATTTCAAGTGGCCAGCAACAATCTCTTTCCCTGCCAAGCCGACCCAAAAAAATGTATGTATATTTTCCCTGAGAAGTGCGCCCAGGCCGAGTAGATGACAATTTTTGCCAATTGCCAAAGCTTTTGGAGAACCCTGCAGTCCCGAATAACATGGTGACCACTTGATTACCTCAAAACAGGGTTGTAAGTGATGGGGTGAGGTTGTTTGAAATTCAGGCTAACTTATGTAAGAATATGTAAAAAACAGTATTTTCGCAACGGAGTTAGTTTATTGACACTAGTTTTCACATGTTTCCCTATTATGTGCTTAGTCTATCAAATGAATGTTTTTCTTTTCTCATCTTTCTCCAGGAAGACCTTGAAGGTGGCAATGTAGATTGTGCAAACATCCCAAATCTTCTTGACAGAGAAACTATGATCAAGAATGCTCTGGAACTGACTAATAAAGCCATAGATGACATTGACAGCTTACTAGCTACATCTAAATGTTCCTCTCAAAATATTCCTTTACAATAATTTTTTTTAAAAATTATCAGGTAATTAAAAGAGTGCTTCTAAAGCAAAAGGTATTGATAATATTGAGGGTTCCACGTCCAAGACATATTATGTGACTTATTAATGTTGAAGTTCCTAGGGCTAACTAAAAGTTACAGTAGGGATATAACAAGCGAATGATGCTTAAGTCCAAGCTAAAACTCTTTTATAGGTAGACAAATGTCTGGGTTTAGACCAATATAAAATCGTGTACCATGGAAAGTACAGAGCCCATGCAGCCTTGAATGAAACAAGAATAGGGTTATTTAAAAGACTAGCCATATGCATGATATAATTAAACCAGACGTTGTTGCGACATGCATGCATGAAAGGCTATAGTTGTGAATATTGTTTAAACTAGATAAGAAAGACTTATGTAATGTTCTAATGCGTAACAGCTCGATTGCGTTGCATTTAGCAATTATAGTAATTCCGTTGGAATTCCTTGTTGACACCTTGCCTTGAAGAAACCTTGGAACCTTGCTCTAGTACAATTTTGTTCCAAGATTTTTGTCAATGTTTGTAGGTGCATATAGAAACATAATATGAAATTTTTAAACATCTGGAAGATGCACAAAACTTAAACACACACATCATACCCCTCAGGTTTGAGTGAAAAAAAAATGTACTGGAGGAGGCCTAGCAGAACAATGCATTTGAGGGAAACTCATAAGAAAACACTGAAAAGATAAAGAAGAAAGAGGCACAGTCTTTCATCGTTTCTTCTTTCTGTTTGTAGTAGATACACTGGTGTGCACAACTTCCATTTCCTTCCAAGAATGCCACAACAAAAGAAAAGGAATTACAACCCAGAGACTATTAAAAAACACCAAGTAACACCACAGATACAATAAGGAGCTTGTGTCCAAACTTGGGCTGCCAGTCAACCATTCTGGACAAAATGTCATCCAACCTAGCAAACAATATGGAGAGTTTGTCAAGAGCAATGTTTCACCCACTTATTTCTATACTAAAAGATTTGTGCACAATATTTCAATGCAACATGTTGCAAATTGAAAGGCTGGTGCACGTATTTGGCTGGGCTTTTAGACCTTGATAGTGTTATTTTATAGGTGTGGAATTATTTGGCTCAAATCTAGGGATTGCTAGTTCTTCCTCATGTACACTGTAATGTCTCAGATGTCTGGTTCATAGGCTACAGATTAAGGTAGAAACTACCATTACCTGAGTTTCACACTTGAAGCAATCATTAGACTTTGCCCTTAGCGGCGGTTGAAACAAAATTAAAACTGACTCATGGAGGGTGTGTGGAGCAATCCTGTTTCTGATTGGCTACATAGAACTTATTCTTGTGCCAGCATTTTGTTACAAGTTCAGATCTTTTGTTGAGAATCATAGGTCTGTCAGTGGATAGAATGCAGAGTTTTTCTGTCAATCAGATATTAAATAAGCTACTGTAATAATTGCATAAGTGTAATGGTAAACTACAGTCTGTAGTATATTATTTACAGGATGTTAATAGCCATACCTCCATACAGTTCACATGCACAAAGAGTTATCTGCACAAAGTGTCTGCCAGAAAAAAAATAGCAACATATTTATCATACATGCTGTATAAATTCACTTGTAATACCTAAGCCCTGTAGCACTTCACCTGTGTTTTGCTTTTTGTTTGTTTTGTTGTTGTTGTTGTTGTTGTTGTTTCTTTCATTGTCTTGCCAGAAAACAACTAAACATCAGTGTGGATTTTTAGTTTTCTCATACCTAATTGCCTTTTTCTTTGCAAGTTATTGTTGTTGTTGTTGTTGTTGTTGTTACACCATGGCATATTTCCATAAATATTTCTGGTGTTCATGGTTTTCTGACTTTGTTTACCTGTAGTGTTTGTCACAGATAATAGCATAGATCAACAACAGAGCCAGGGGTCCAGTGATGACAACTGTAAGAATCTCTAAAGAAACAATTGTTGGGTCAGAAAACAGCCATCTTGAATCTGCCTTGCCATATTCTTTCCCTGAGAACAAAAACTGTTGTGAACTCCAGTCTCATTTAAACAAGATTATGCCAGTTACCTCATCTAAAACATGCTACCTATATCAAATAATCTAAATATGGTATAGTATTCATATTTATATAATGATGTCTCTGGTGAACTGTCAGCAAAGAAAACAGGGATCATGCGTAATAAAGGTATCTGTGGTTGAGTATCAATCGATACTCTTGATCGATACCCTTGGTCAAAATCTTGATCAATACTAGATCAACATCCCGATTGATACTCGGTCGATACTCTATCAACATTTGATCAACAGATGGCCCAGTGTTGACTGACTTGTATGAATCGATCAAAAATTTGGTCGTCTCTCAAACGAGATGTCAATGGAGTGTCAATCAAGTGTCAACTGAGGTGTAGATGGAATGTCAATCGAGTATTGATTGAGTGTCAATCAAGGATGGTTCGAAGGTATCAATCGACACACAACCGCGGATGCCTTTAGTACATATGATCCGAAAATGGTCGTAGACTCATAGTAATCTATGCGGGGCAACCAACAAATTTTGAACCACTCAGATACAAACTTCAAAGGTGCTGACAACAAAAGACTAGGCTGTCAGAGGGGGGAGTTGCAGATAAAAAATGGAATACCATCCCAGTGATGCTTACCAAATGAATTATACCATGCCATTTCTTCCATGCGTATATTTTTGTTTAAAAAAGAAATACTCACAAACTTCAGCCAGGATATGGTTGGAGTTATTGACAGATCCAGTGAGTGAGAAGTAAACAAATGGTCCTTCCTAAGAAATAGATCAGGTGTTTAAAATAAAAATGCTGCTTTGGACTTCATTACCATAACATGTCACGCAATCATATTTGCGTGACGACTAGGAGGCTGTTCAATAAACCCAGGTCAAATCATCTCTCTCATAACCCATGAGCCCAACTGCAAGCTAGGTTGTGACTTATGCAGTATATACATTAAAATAACTTTTGATATTTTCCTACGTTAGTCGCCAACGGCCACCTCAGTTCCTATTGTCAGCTTATTCAAAACACGTACCAGTGAAAAATGTGTCAGCGCATCATAAAAAAGCCACGCAATTATCCACTTCTCTAATGATGGGAGCTTACGGCTAACTGAAAAGGCCAAAGTTATTGCTCCAAGACATTGCAAAAAAGTGAACGATAAGCTTGCAATGCAAGTCAAATTTGCCTCCACAAAAGTCCAAAAGCCAGTCATTTCAATAGTTATTAACACTGCTTACTTCATGTACAAAGTAATGAAAATGACATACTTCCCTTAAAAGCGCCATGTTGACCGTGGAAACTGGAGCGATATTTTACAACTTGATGGTTTTCATTGTTTCCGTTTAGGCGTGTTTATATTGAAGAAAGTCTATTCTTGTCCACAATTTCCCTCGATTTCAAGTTTCTAGTAATTCAAGAGTGGTTACTAACTGTTCAGGTAAGAGTTACCGTTGTTACAAGTTGGCCTGTCTGTCTTAAAATTCGCATTCTTCACGAACATAAGCTTGAACTCGAGAAAGCGGCTTTAAATGACAAATTAGAGAGACATTGATCCTTAAAATCAGCATGTACGCAACTGTACTCGACTGTATTTGTTTTAAATTTTTTTTTGCTGTCCTGATACATTCCTTTCCAGTAACAAATAAATCCGCTAGCAGCCACGATCTAGAAATACTTCGGGTCCAAACGTGCGTGTTTGCGGCTTTACAGCTTTCCTAACTTGATATCTAACTCTAACCGTTGAATGCTCTGCACTACAAACCCAAATACCTAGATAAGAAATAATTCACACTTAAATACTATTTAATAAGTAGTTGGGTGAAAGTTATTTCTTGTCTTAATTACCAGTACGCCTGCAGATCACTTGGTATTTGAGACAGCAACCAGTACATGAATTACAAAACATTCGTTCTACTAAATAAGCGTAGATACAAACCATGTGGACTGATTATAAGACTTGTAGTAGTTTAGAAATGGACTAGCTAACAGCTCATGCTAACTTGAGTTAATAATTAATGCCTCTGTCAATTCCAAGCCTGCTGATCCCCCACCCCAGCATTCATGAGGCATTTTCAACCCATTAACTCCTGGAGCTCTTTGCCAAAACCGCATTCTTTGGACATTTGGGAGATTTTCTGCCTGGGTGTGAGCCAAATTAGCTCCAATGTACTTAAAAAGGCATTTGCAACATAACAGCATGCCTTACTTTCTACTAGCACCACGGCTTTACAACATTTTTGTTCGGGTGTGCACAGAAATCAAAATTTGTGACCTACGTCTTTAGGCTTTTCTGTTTTTTTAGTTTTTCTTGACTTTCCTTATCTTTTTGTGGCAGTGATTGACCCTCTACTGGGCTTGCTTCCAGTTTAGAAATTTCTGAGAAAGCATCATTGAGACAGGCAATTTTCACCATGGAGTAGCTAAGTGTCATTGCAGGAAAGTTTGCTCCACATTTTTCTCTCCAATTTATGAGCATATTCGTGCATATCTTAGACTCCATTGGGCCAATCACTCCGATCTGGGTATCAGTAGAAAGATCTTTTCCTCCTGCAGAACTTGAGTGTAGATGATCAATGCCAATTTTGATCAAAAGTGATGAAGTCAGAAGTGGAACAAAGGCCAATGCTCGTCACGGCTGGTTACGTCCAGCACAGGAGTCAGTGGGTTAAATTTTTTGAAAAAAATTTGTAAATGTCCCAGGAATGCTAGCTAGAATAGTTGATGTACAAATCTCCTCAGTGAGGCTTCAGGAAGATTGCAAATTCCTGACCCATAGGACAAGGTCAAAATTCCATTTTATTTAATACAGAACCACGAGTGTTTTACTGGGAAATACACCACTTGTAAAATTCATACAAAACCACTTCCGGGATTTAGGTAGCGTATTTTCCATATCTTCATTGGTGAAGATATTGATGACTTCACTGATATCATTTTTGACCCTTGATCTGTGCTAATATTTGTTGGTGTATGATCGAAACATCTTTGGATCTGCCTCAAGATGTATCGAGCACTGTACTACGGAAAAATCGAAACACAGACTTCCTATATATTTATATATATATTTATTTATATAAAGTGTAAAATTTGATTTTCGTAGAACAATGCTCAATACATCAGAGTAGAGCGAAGTATACAATGTGGGAGGAAAAACACAAATGAACTACAAGTTCATCCCTACAAGCCTGTTTCGTGGTTGCCACGTGGGCAACCACGAAACAGGCTTGTAGGNTACATGGTTGCTTGTAGATATGGAATATCTCTTCTCGTGTTCTACTTGATATCTCACTCGTTCACTGCACCCACTCGTGAGATATTGAGTTGAACACTCAAAGAGATATTCCATATCTACACGTGCTCATGTATTATTCTCTATTTGTTATTCACAAATGAATGGATCTTAATTAATATCTGTGACCACTGTTATGGGTTTTAAAAGCATATCGCCTTTGGAAAGTAACAAAACTTAAAGGAGAGCTACATCACGGTTTGCGCATCTTGAAAAGTTAAGTCTAAATTTTTCAACTTCGTCATTTGCAATCCGTGTTAATCTTTATCATCCATAACCATTCTTGTTCCTTTATGGTTTATTGGTGTTTTTCTGTCTTAGTAAGGTACTATTTTCAGGTTTCCCTCAATTCAAAGGTCATTTTGTTAAATATGGCCAAAATACCATGACCAAGCTCCTTTAGTAAAGAATAGTAATTGGACCGAGTGGAGTGCAATTCAGGGAGTCCAATTTTGAAATTACTCATGTGAAGCGCGAGGCCGATTTGAAATTACAGGCACGATTACTCCCTGAGTTGTATGACACAAGGTCCAATTACTAATTAATCATATCTATAACAAATTTCAGAGTTAAAAATGTTCTTTGAGAACTTGTTTTGAGTGAAAACATCTGTAACACTTTTCATACGTTCTGAAAACTGTAGGAAATATTGCGAAGGAAGCCATTAAAGTGAGTGTAATTGATGTGTGAATCATGTGGGTATCCAATTACAAACAGTTCAAATTGGATTCCTGTAATTGGACACCCATGAGATCGCATGCCGTTTACATGACAAATAGGTGCGCGGATAACCAATCATGATAGAGAATTTTGTTATAGATACGATTAATAATGTAACAGCTGCCATCCTATTAGGTTGAGGACTTTATGTCATATTTCTTAGTTTGGCTACCAGTAAAAAGACAGCTTTGCAATTAGCAAGTACGTTTGCAAAATCTGATCTCTATTTGACATTCTACAGTTATAATTGAATAAGAAATTATTTTATTTTTTGCCAGTGATGTTGGGCATTTTTGACGTAGCTTCCCATCCAGCTGTACAACTATAAATCACATGCATCATTTGAAGTAAATTTAGAACCATTTCATTTCAAACTAGGCACTACAAATTTTTCATACTCTTTCTAGTATTGCACGATATCTATTGTGTAAAACTTATGGTACATTTCAAAATCTGAGATGCAATCCATACTATCAGCTGGCCAGAGCAAAGAGTGCCTTGTTTTAAAAATAAAGTAAAATGAAATTGGAAACGTTTTATATATATATATTTTGATATTAGGGTTGAGGGTACCAGGGAACCATGCCTCTGTTTGGCTCCTCAAAAAAGAGTCCAAGTGAACTGGTGAAGAACCTTCACGACTCTCTGCAAGTCGTGGATAAAGAACCAACTGGAAGCAAGAAATCTGATAAGGTGAGTTCATTCCTGAATTAACGCCATTTACTACTGTCTTAATACTAGTGTTCCAGATCTCAGGTGAAAAAACTATGTAAGGCCTACATGTTTATTATATATCTGTAAGACATTTAGTATCATTGAATGTGGCTAAATGTGATTTAGGCAAAGTTAGACTCAAACCAATGCAGTCAGCAGTTTCCCCTTTTACAGTACGTGACTTGTGGGGCAGCCCTTTGGAGATTTGCAGGGCTGTTGTGTCACATTGCATTGCACATACTGTGCTGCCAGCTGATCGTTGTGTATCATTTGCTTTGTATTTTGGCGAATCATTGCAGATTCTCGCCCCTTCCCTTCCCGTCCCTCCCTCCTGGTTGCTGGTCTCTAGGTAAGTATGGGTCAGGTAAGTTGTTTCCACTGATTCAATCAGTGTGATGGTGCCAGTTACCGGCCACTTTTGGGGGTGGTTCCCGCTTCCAGCGTTGCCATGGATACCTCCCCTTCCGCGTACGGCTTCTGCGCCCCGCTAACCTTTCAGGCACTAGTTCCCAAGCTCATCTGTTGGTGATGAGTTTAATTCCAGGCTACGGGTGTATAATTTTGTGGTTCATTTTATTTTTGTCTGTCATATCATGTAACAAACAAAATTCTGATTTTTCACTTATTAATCATACATTATTTCCCCTAGGCTTTAGAAGATATTGCTAAACAGTTTAGTGCAATTAAAACAGTCCTGTTTGGATCTGGAGGTAGTGTGCTTCACCCCGTGAATAATCTGTTAGTTATATATTTATAGCATCATGAAGATCAAATGTGATTTGAATTTGTGGAGGCAGTGTTGCCAAGTGGTTAGGGCGCCAGACTTGAAATCTGGAAGTCACGCATTCAAGTCCCATTCTGACCACTTGGCTGGAGTTCTCAGTAGAGCCCAGTTCAATTCCTCTGTCGTGCTAGTAAATAGCCAACTGGTCTGCCTCCTGACTGTTCTGATTTTTAAGCTTGTTACATGTATGTGTAGTCCATATACTTTTTTTTCTTTCAGTTTAAGTGCCATGTGTGTGAACTAGCTAAGTATAGATAAGCACATTGACCACCATAAACAACAACATTTTAACATTTGAATTTGTTCTAGATCAACCTCCCCTGGCAGAAAATGTGGCTCAAACTGCTCAAGAGATGTATAACACAGATCTGTTTGGGCTTCTTGTTGAACACCTTCAGAAACTAGATTTTGAGGTACATGTAATAAAATAACATATTAAACATTCCACTTTCACTTGCTGTCCAAGGCTCAGAAGTATCTGTGCCAAGGTACTCAGTGTCTAGAAAACATTACTGTAAAAATACAACAAAAATACTTGGAAATTTTATTCTTGTAAAAAAGATGGACATGTAAGGTTTGACTTTATCTTTGTTGCTCGTGGCTCTTGGCTCTTGTCTCTCTGAATGATGCCCCCTAGAACCCCCCCCCCCCTGATGTGATGCTGAGTGAGTTGTCAAAAATCATCAGATATGGATGTAAACATTGCTCACACAATCTGTGCCACATTCTGTGCCACAGTCTGTGTCACACAGTATGTGCCATCATAGTAGGGTGGGGCTTGCAATGGCTAATTCAAAAGAAAATATGTAATTCAGGGTTTTGATGGTTTTTTTGCGCAGGTAGAGAAAAGACATAATTATTAATTATTACCATAAATTACAACAGTAATGCTCTGTAAAGCCCAGACAACAAATGTGGTGTTCCATTTCAGCTGAAATAACAATAAGCTGCAAAATTAGACTTTTCGTGAGTCCTGTGCAAGATGGCAATCGAGCAGGGTCTCAAGCCCCCACATTGCATTATTTTACCTTCAAGATCAATAGAAACTAAATTATTCTGAAATTTTGGCACAACTGGCTCTGAACACTGAACACAATCTCTGCAGGCCATCATTTTGCTTCTGTTTACAGAAGCCCATCACAGTTGGATAATGTCACCATGCCAACGTTATGATATTAATCTCAGCCAATTAGTATTTTGCACCCAAAATTTGGAAGCACCAATTCAGAATTTAAAGCAGTATGGGAAGGCTCTTCTTCCCTTTTCCAGTGACAGGCATTTTTTACTCCTCAATCTGAATAGGGTTGAACAGTCTCCTTTAGTACATTTCTGAGTTCATCCAGTTATGCTAACATTACATTTTATCTTTTAGAGCAAGAAAGATGTTGCCCAAATATTCAACAGCATTCTACGGAGGCAAATTGGGGCTCGCCTTCCCACAGTTGAATATTTGCTTGATAACAAGGAAGTATTGTTCATGCTTGTGACGGGGTAAGATGTTGAACAGTTCAGTGTTTAGACTCACTGCTATATTTTTGTGAGTTACAATTGCTATAATTATTGACATGCTTGCAGAACTTCTATGAAGATTTATTATCAATCCAGCTGAAAAATTGAAACAAAAACTGTAAGGTGCTTAATATGTTTCCTTGACAACCAAAATAGTAAACTCCACAAAACAAGTACATTATGCACTCTAATCACCGGTCCCGAGGGAAGCAGTTAGTTTTGTTTTCCCAAGATTCTTGATGTTTCCTGAGACAAAGTGAAAAATAAGTAAAGAGGTACACAGAATTCAAAGTATAAACAGAACGGGCAACAATAGCTTCCATTGTAATTGGTGGCTGCCGGGCAACATTTAGATTTAGCGATTGCCACATGACCATAAATCAAACAATAAGAAACACATTTGACCTTTCTTGACTATCTACAGGTATATTATGAACCCACAATGCGACCAGCTCCCAGCTGGCTTGATAACTCAGTTGGTAGAGTGCTGCACCGGTATTGTAGAGGTCATGGGTTCAAATCCTGTTCAGGCCTGAATTTTTTTTTCAGACTTGGGCATTAATTTCACAACTGCTTAAGTTTTGTGTATAACTGTGATTATTATTATTATTATTATTATTATTATTATTATTGTTATTGTTATTTTCACATTTTTATTGCTTTTGCACACACACAAAAAAACTTTACAACCACATAACTTTCATTAAAACTGTCCTACTAACATTAGCATGAGTAATTACAATGACTGCTAATACTTTACTACTGCGATTATCAGTCGTGTTGATCACCTGATGAATCATCAGTCATGTGACTCCCCTCCCCCTCCCCCAGAGTCTGCAAGTAATAAGTTATTAGTTATTAGTAGTTTTAGCTGACAAATTTTTAACTGTGTGTAAGTAAAGATTATCTATCTATCTAAGTAGACTAGAGTGTATTTGAGTAGAGTGCAGCACTTTGGTANTGAAGTGGCGTATGGAATCTACGAGTGGTTTAGTTCCCAGTAAAACACTCTTCTCCATATAATAAATGTTGTTATACATTCATTTGGTGTGGTAGCTATGTTAATTTTTCACATTTCTGGTTATGTTACTTGTAGTTTTTTGGTCATTATTCCAAGTTACTGAACTCTGAGAATTATGTTACGAGAAGACAGTCACTTAAGGTAATGTATTTGCAGTTTGTTGTCATTAACACAATACAATATATTCATTAGTACATTAACTACAAGGGAAAAAACTGATCCTTGTACTGAGATGATTAGGTTTTAACAATCAATTCAGACAACGTGATCAGATCATTAATTTAAAAGATAGTTCTTTGAGCGACTTTTTTACATGTATAGTGTACTGTAGCTGATCCACAAAATAGTGCCTATATGTAAATTGTTGTGTCAAAACATGTCGTGACTTGTTTGTGTTATGTTTTTTTTTTTGTTTTTTTTTTTAACAGCTTCTTGGAGAGCTGCTGCTGGATCGTCACAACTTCACCGTGATGACAAAATACATCGGTAATACGGACAACCTGAAGCTTATGATGAATCTGCTGCGAGACAAGAGTAGGAACATTCAGTTTGAGGCCTTTCACGTATTCAAGGTCAGATCATTAAAAAGATGTGATTACTGCACTTGCCAGGTTCTTGTAACACAGGAACAAATTAGAATGATTTGCTGTTAATCATACCGTGTTATCTTTTTCAAAATATTTGCTACCTTACATGTACATTGTAACATCTTTGCACAAATGTATTCATTTATCAACTCACAATCTATGATTTTTTGTGAAGCCTAGCAATTCAATACCCCATCTTTATGATATGTTCCCTGCATGTGAGTCAGAACTGTTCAAATTCTTGTCAGTGATATATGTTTGTTCCAATTTCCTACTTTGGGTTCCTGCTTTCTTTATTGTGAAAAAATCTGAATGTCATATCATCTATTTTGTTTATCAGTAATTGATGGTTTTCAATTGCTAGGGAAATGTTTTGTTTGTAATTTGCAGGTATTTGTTGCAAATCCCAATAAAACATCACCTATCCATGAAATCCTGGTGAAAAACAAAGAAAAGCTTGTGGAGTTTTTGACCAGCTTCCACAATGATAGAACAGGTATTTAACAGTACATTGTACAGTTCCAGAAAATATTTAATACACTCCCCACCAAAAAA